GCTGCTGCTGCTGTTTGTAAGTGTTCACACATCCTGGTTCTGATCCGCTGCTGCTGCTGATTATCTCTGAACCAAACTCCACCAAAACCCAGCAGGTTGGGCGATCCATGAACCGCTCATCAGCTTAACTCAGCACTCAGAGGGTTCTGTTTGTCATGAGCAGCTTCGGACAGAACCAGTGATGGTTCTGATGGACTATCGATGGTGAAGCCTGAAGAACAGCTCCATGTTTTGCTGTAACTCACCAACAGAACATCCTGTGGTTCTTCTGTCTCACCTTCCTGTCACGTACATGTGAGGTTCTGATTGTGTCCTCCTGCAGCTCGGTTCTTCCTCCGCGGTTCCGTTCTCGTCCATCTTCTCGCAGCTCTTCATGACGGTGGTGGTTCCTCTGGTTCTGGGGCAGGTGAGACTTGGCCCAGCTCTGCCTGTTCTGTTCTTGTGCCTGTTGGATCACCTGCTGTGGTTCTGGTTCCAGGTGTGCCGGGGTTTCCTCAGGGAGCTGCTGGAGCGCCGGAAGCCTCCGTTCGGCGCCGTCAGCAGCTGCGTCCTGCTCATGATCATCTACACGACCTTCTGCGACACCTTCAGCAACCCGGACATCGAGTTGGACCCGACCAGCCTGCTGCTGCTCGTCCTCATCAGTCAGTGAGAGGGAGGCTGGGTGTTGTTGTCAGAACCACCAGGATGCCAGATATGGTTTAGAACTGGACCTCTGGTTTAAACATGTTCTTCAGTTTGTGATCAGAACCAAGAAGTAGCTCAGAGAGCCTGGTGCTGCTCAGGATGGAGATGAGGTCTTTGTTAGTTTGCATCTGCTGTTGTTGAATTTTAGCGTGAAGCAGCTGGTTCTGACCCAGACCTACAGAGCGGCCAGTCAGCTGTATTTCCTCCTCATGACCTTCAGCCTGCTCAGCCGGGTTCTGTTTGTGTTTCTCCACAGTTTTCTCCATTCAGATCAGCTTCATGCTGCTCACCTTCGCCTTCTCCTCCAGGTGAGTCCGGTCCACTTCATCTTCACTTATCAGAACCTCTGACACCAGCTGACTGAGACTAGAGAACCAGAGCCGGTTTGTAAAGCAACATGAAATGTGTATCTAACAGTAAGATGAGGCCCAGCAGAACCACAGCTGGTGCGGTCCGGTTCTAAATGACCGTGAATATAGAACAGTGACTGAAAGTCTGAAGACGGTTCTGATAACGTTGACGAGGAACATTTGATGGAGACAGAAGTTGTTCTGACGAGTCTCACTGACGTTAAGGAGCATGAATGTGACGAGGCAGACGGATNTGTGTGTGTGTGTGTGTGTGTGTGTGTGTGTGTGTGTGTGTGGGGCCTCCCTACCTGCACACTCTGCAGTGACACGTTGCATTCAGCAGTAACGCTCCCGTGTGCGCGGCCCCGAGCATCAGCTCTCATGAAGTCTCCTCCTGACCTACCTGGAGATGTTGTGACGTGAGCTCACCTGGAGCTGCTCCACCTGACGGAGGAGGAGGAGCGAGTCTTACCTGTGATGATGAAAGCACACAGGTGGATTTATAGATGAATGTTTCGTGGTGTAGACGAGCTGCAGGATGGTGGAGAAGGAAAGACGGACCTGAAGGTCTCGGCTGACTTCATTTAAACATCCATCATCTCTCCACGGCTTAAGCCTGTCTGCAGACAGGTGTGTTTTATGTCCACCTGAGGGGAGATCAGAAGAAGCTGTTCAGAGATAAAGTCACTTTATGAGTCTTGATGAGTGCCGTCGGCTTCCTGATAAGCTGCAGTTCAACCTGAGAGGCTTCAGCTTCACGTCCTATCAGCTCAGCAGATAAACGGCTGAGCTCCTGGCAGGTGCTGCTTCAGGTGCTGCCTTCAGGTGCCCTCAGTTACCTTCAGGTGCCTTCAGGTGCCTTCAGGTGTTTTCAGGCGCCCTCAGTTACCTTCAGGTGCCTTCAGGTGTTTTCAAGTGCCTTCAGGTGTTTTCAAGTGTTTTCAGGGGCCCTCAGGGGCCTTCAGGTGCTGCTGGAAAATGCTGAACTGAGTGTTTGGTGGTTTTACAGTTAGTTTTTCTCATTTTGTCTCGTCTTCATTGCTACAAACAGGAACTTTTCCAGGTGGAGCCCAGTCAGTGTTTCTGTTGGAGTTTCTCCAAAAGGTTTGTGTTTGTTTATATGTGAGCTTTCAAAAGTTTGTCCTCTTCAGTCAGGAGACGT